TATATTACCCACGGTTCACGGCTAACGCCTCCAAGATACAACAACTTTCGATTTGTGTATAAAGGTAACTCAAATACACAAACCTTCTACGAACAATACTTAAGTTTCAGAACTCTCAAGATAAGAAAGAACACAAGATGAATATGAACTTTGTAAAAGGATGCACAAACTCTTGGAATAATTTGATGTTTATGACTGTTCACTTCATGGGTATTTATATATGTTTTAACACATTTCCAAGGGGTTCAAGGCATCAAAAAGACACCTTTTGGAATGTGCCCGGTCGATTAAAACCGGTTAGGAACCATTATGATACAAACATGTGCGTCAGCGTCATGAGTTCGTTGCGCCCGCGACGCCATGTCGCGATCTGCAGCAGCTCCGGTGAAGAAGGGTTGTCGCGCCTGCGCCGGTCGCGCCCGCTAACGGAAAGTGGAACCGTTAAGTTGGTACAAAATCAATTTTTCACAGCTAGTAGGTCTGAACGAAATTAAAGGCAAGACCCATGGACGGATCTCCCTTAGGCCTGGGATGGGCTGAAGCCTAGGCCTATTAATTATTTCTAACACTTATTAGTTTGAAAATAAAAAATTATTGTAATTTTAGCCCAGTCCAATAAACCGACCTACTAATCCACCAAAATAATTCACTTATCTATTAAGTCCAGAAGACTACTAATACCACTCTGATAAATTTTTATATACTGTTAATTTACCCTTTTCACTAGGCACCAGTCCAAAAAACACTACTATACACCAAACTTTAAAATAAATTAGCTACGTCCATGTCCAACTGAACTCCAAAACAATGAATTCAGAAGAATAAAAACAAGTAAATGAATAAATAAATAAAATTATTTAACAAGAAAGAGGCTAATTTCATAAAGACGAGTTAATTTCTTATTTAATACTAAGTGACCGCGTGTCGCGACACGGCAAATTTAAATTTATAAAGTTTTCTTAACAAACCTCTACTAACTCGTAGTAGCGGCGAGTAAGGGTCGATCCCACGAGGAGCAGGAATTAAGTCGTGAAAAATTTCGTATTAATCGAACTAAAACTAAGAAAGCAGTAAAATGGGGGGATTGGATTGATAAAAATAAAAATAATAAAATAAAATAAAAATCGAATAAAATAAGAGAAGTCCAGTTTTCGGTTCAGTTATCACCCAATCTAAATTTACCGTTTATCAATTTCGACGCTTTCTTTAAATTGCTAACGAATTACCAACCCTAGCTAACAACAAGCTCTGTTAACCGAATTTTCCCTTACTGAATATTTAATCGAAATAGGCTCTTAGACTAAATTTAACTAGTGGACAACCTAGAATAAGCTCCCTAGATTTAATGCACTAGCAGCATTAATTCTTAGGAAAATAGATCAGTCTAAGCAATGGACGCAAAAGCTCGGACCATTTAACTTATGTTCACGCTACCCTAGAGATGCACGACCCCTAGTTTACTACTAACGAAACAAGACAATAACAATTACGGATTAAAGTTTCGAATCTAGCAATTAAACTATGAACATTCAACGTAGCTGGCCAACTAAATCAAACACCATAATTCATTAACACTAAACACAGATAACGCGAATCAACTCATCAACAAAATAAATACGGCATGTAGATTAATCAACGATAAATCAAAGATCCTTCAATTTATAGACAAATCGAAGTTAGAGTTCAAACATCCCCTAAAACTAGATAAAAATCTAGCCTAGCATACTAAAAAAAATAAATAAAAGATAAAAGAGAGAATAGAATTATCCTCTCGTGTGCGGGTGCGGTTTCCCTCCGCGTGTGTAATCTTCTCCTCGCGTGCGTCTGCAGGTGCGCGGTTCCTATTTTTCCTTTTCCGCTTCTCCCTCTCGTTCTTTTTCTTTTCAGGTAAATAAATCCTCCGCTCCCGAAAATCTGCGTGAGTGCCCTCACGTTTCTATTTTTTTTTTTTAATTATTATTTCCCAACAAAAATATCCACTCCAAATAATTCCCTTTATACTCCATGTGACCTGAATGTCTCCATATGAAATTTGATGGTGCATGTAATTGTGTCCAGGTAAGTTCACCACAATTAATTTCTGTTTCTCCAATAATCGTGTACAACCCCTTCAAGCTCTTGGCTCAAATCAATTTCACTTTCTTTTGGGCCTAAAAATCTGAAAATAAATCATAAAATAATCAAAGCATATAAATCCATCTAAATAATAAATAGGTCGAAAAATATAAGTGTGCGAATAAATCAAGCGTATAAAAATACACTATTAAATATATAAAAAACGTGCACATTTTTCGACCTATCACTAAGTTATATTTTTAAACCCACTATTAGATATTTATTTCATTTGTCTAATTGTTTTTATATATCTTCTCACTATTTACGATTTTTAATTCTAATTGCTAGGATCATTTGGTTACAATCCTTGTTTTGTTGATTGTATATAAAATAATAATTATGTGTGCACGAGTTTTTTTTTTTTTTTTT